ACCAAGTGAGACTCCAACTCAAAAAGAAAAAAAAAAAAAAAGATTCTTTGTACTTGGGTCAGGTCACAGTGTTCCTGTAAATATATATATATATATTTTTAAGTAGGAGTCGTACTCTGTCACCCAGGCTGGAGTGCAGTGACACGTTCATGGCCACCACAGCCTCAACCTGCTGGGCTCAGGTGATTCTTCTGCCTCAGTCTTCCAAGTAGCTGAAACCACAGGTGCACACCACCACACCTTGCTAATTTTTTAATTATTATTATTGTAGAGATGAAGTCTTGCTAAGTTGCCTAAGCTGGTCTTGAACCCCTGGACTCAGGCAATCCTCTCACCTCTACCTCTCAAAGTGCTAGAATTACAGGCGTGAGTCACCACATCCACTTCCTTTTAAATCTTTAACAAAACATAGTATACAGACTTCCTCCTTTTCCCAGGATTAGTGTCGAGTTGCATACCTGTTGTTCCTACATTATTTTTTCAATGTTTCGAAATTACGGGTAAAGGTTCCTTAAATGAAAATGGAGTTATGTACATTCTTTTGCTGTTTCACTATTACAGTAAGAGACTTTCAGTCTTCAGGTAGCCAGATCTCATCTAGTTGATCCTATGTGAGTTGATTGGCTGATGAGCAGGGTATAAGATGTCGGCTGGCTGGTGACACCAGGGTCTCTGGAGCTTTACTGCCACTCTCTAAGGGCAGAAACCCCCTCTTTCTTGTGTGCTGTTGGATCCTATCACCTAGTACAGTGCCCGGCCACAGCCAGGCAGCAATAAACCACAAGATTGGTTTGTGTAGTGAGACAGTATGGAATTCAAAGAACGAGAACTGGAGTGTGGTCCAAGATGGGGTGGTGTCTGCACCATTAGACCTCATCCACTAAAATATTTACTGGATGATGTACTACGCACTGTTCTCTGTGCTGAGAATGTGGCCGTGCCCAAAAGCAAAGTTCTGTCGACAGAGGCTGAGGTACACCAGTGCGAAAGGCAGTCACATATACTTGAGAGTGATTAATTCTATAAAGGAAAAAAATACAGAACGATGTTGTAAGGTAAATGAAACCAGACCAGGCGAAACGGCCTCCGACCTTACAGATGTGACGGTGAGGAAGGAGTGAACGGTTCCTTTTCCTGTAAGCTGAAACAAGCTGGGAAGGTGCAAGGAGTGAGAAAGGGCCACGAGCTCTGGTCCGCTATTCCTGCCTCCAAGGTCGGCCCAAGTCAGCAGAACGGATTTCCGACCTACTCTGGACTCGGAGTGGGACTTCCAAGAAACAGCGTGACCACTGGTGTGTGAGAAGCCTTTTGAGGCCTGGACTGGATGTGGCTTGAGGCTGCGGACCCAGGTGGAAGTAGAACCTGGCCACAGGCCTCCAGGGCAGAAAGGACCCCCGCGCTCCCCACACTCCAGCGGAGCCTGGCGCCCACCTCAGACGTCCCAGCTCTATTTGCATAAATCCACGCCAGTCGGAGGCCCGAGTTCCAACTCGGCTTTAAGAGCCTGGAGTGCCAGCCGGGCTCGGTGGCTCAGCCTGTAATCCCGCGCCTCTGGGAGGCTGAGGTGAGTGGATGGCCTGAGCCCGCGGGTTCGAGACCCGCCTGGGCAGCGAGACCTCATCTCTACAATAAATCAAAAATCAGCCAGGCGTGGTAGCTCATGCTTGTAATTCCGGCTACTCGGAAGGCTGAGGCGGAAGGATCGCCGGAGCCCAGCAGGTCGAGGCTGCGGTGGCCGGGAGCGGCCGCTGCACTCCAGTCTGGGCGACAGAGTGAGACTCCAACTCAAAAAAAAAAAAGATAAATAAATAAAATAAGAGTCTGGAGTGCCAACTAGCCTCCATCTTGGCGGGGAAGCGTAGGCCCAGGGGCGGTGCCTCGCGAGACCCAAACAAGGCCACGTGGCAGGGGCGGGGCCCGCGGTGACGTCACGGCGCGCTCGTGCGCAGCAGAGGTCACGCGCCGACCGTACCCGAGCTGGGGGCGGGGGGCCGTAAAGCGCGGAAGGTCCCGGGCTCCCGCTTCCCGGAACTTTTTACTCCCTCCTTCCCGCCCCCGCTTCCCACCCCCTGTCTCCCCTTTCCGGTCCGCGGCGACCCTCCGGCAACCGTCGTGGCTGTCCCCTTGTTTCCGCCGGGGAGTTGCTGAGCGCGGAGCCCGCGGGGACCCGTGAGGTAAGGAGACAGCCACGGGGCCGCTCTGGCCTCCGCGCCCGCGTGGGCCTTAGCGGCCCGGGACCCCCGAGTTTCCCCCCTTTCCGCTTGGGTGTTCTCCACGGGTGGTCCCCGCAGACCCCCGCTTCCTGTCTGTTCTGCCCGGTCCTGTCCGGAAGGCGCTTCTAGGCGCCTGGACTCTGTCCGGCGAAGGTTGTCTGAGCCACGGGGACCGGTGCCCGGCCGCCCCGGGGCCTGCGTGCCGGCCCATCCAGGCGTCTGCACCGCAGCCGGGATGCCGAGGGCGGCCGGGGTGCCCTGCCTTCTGGCTCCCATCCCCCTCGGGCTTGCGCACCTCTGCAGCGCAAAGCCTCCGCCTCATCCGTCTTTGCAGGTGGAATGGTTTTCCCGCGTTGAAACGTGCGGTCCACTTGCACTTTCCGACTGCAGCAGAGTCCCGCGGAAGTAATGACCCGAAAAGTCTAGGCCAGGGCAGTGCGCTTTCTTCTTAATGCTTGACCTTTTGGGATCGAGGTGGATGAGGCTCAGATTCGAATCAGGCATCCCCGAGCCCATTTCGCCCATGCGTGGAAGCATGAGGTACCGGGATGGATGGTGGTGGAGGAGGAGTCAGCCCGAAGGGTACACTTCCAGGGGTGGGAATTTGTATTAATTTCTTAAACTTGCATGATCACCCGGTGCACTTGGAAAAAACAGCTCCCTGGACCATTAGGTTCAGAATTTCCAGGGAGGAGGGCTGGAGATCTATTGTTTTGTTTTTGTTTTTGTTTTTTGTTTGAGTTGGAGTCTCACTCAGTCGCCCAGACTGGAGTGCAGTGGCGGCTCCCGGCCACCGCAGCCTCGACCTGCTGAGCTCCGGCGATCCTTCCGCCTCACCCTTCCAAGTAGCTGAAACTACTGGCGCGCGCTACCACGCCCGGCTCATTTTTTTTTATTTTTATTTTTTATTGTAGAGATGAGGTCTCACCAAGTTGCCCAGGCGGGTCTCGAACCCACGGGCTCAGGCAATCCACTCAATTTAGCCTCCCAAAGCGCTGGGATTACAGGCTGAGCCACTGAGCCTGGCTAAGGAAATCTATTGTTTTTACGCAATAGATTTCCTGGTGGTTCCGCCGAGGCAAGTGTGGCAAATGTGTTAATACACTCATACTCATCCAGTCTTCTTGTGACCAGCAGTCCACTTACGCACAATGCTGTAACCAGACAGGAACAACTCAGGAAGGTAGACCTGTCACCTTCCTCTTGTTGGAATAAGCAGATCTGAGCAGAACCAGCCTCTGTCTTAAGGTTGTTTAATAGAGGTTATTCTTCTTAGAGAATATTATAACCTTTTTCCAGAATCTTAAATATATATATAATTTGTTTTAAACCAGGTAATGTGCTTTATTTCTGTCTGATATCTTCAGTTTCTTCTTCACTGGCTTTACCTCGTTCATTGTCAAGCTTCGCATTGATTTTTTTTTTTCTGCCAAACCTACTAGAATAGACTCTGGTGCCTTCCTTCATTGTTTACTTTAAGCCCTTCTGCCCTCACCACTTTAACTCCTTTGAAGGTCATGATGAACACAAGGTCAGAGATCCTTTCCTTGGTTCTTAGCATCCTGGGCTTTTAACATTGTTTTTCCATCTTGAAACTTACCTATTACAGTGTAATTCAGTTTCTTGCTGGGGAAAGTGCCTTATGGTTAGATCCTCACAGCTGCCTGTTTTTTTTGTTTTGTTTTTTTTTGAGTTGGAGTTTCACTCTATTGCCCAGACTGGAGTACAGTAGCATGCTCCTGGCCACCGCAGCCTCGACCTGCTGGGCTCCAGGCGATCCTTCCGCCTCAGCCTTCCAAGTAGCCAGAACTACAGGCGCATGCCACCATGCCCGGCTAATTTTTAAAATTTATTTATTGTAGAGATGAGGTCTCGCCAAGTTGCCTGAGCAGGTCTCAAACCCGCGGGCTCCCAAAGTGGTGGGATTACAGGCTAAGCCACTGAGCCCAGCCGCCTTTTCTTTACTTATCTGATTTTATTTGAAAGGTAGCATGGAGTAATGGTGAAATGGCATGTGTGCTAGTGCCAGACTGGCTGACTTTGAATCCCGACTCTGCTACTCACTAGAATTATACGACCTTGAGTGAGTCACTTCATGTTTTTGTGCCTCAGTTTCGTCAAGTAGAGAAGAGAAATGCTAATATCTGCCTCCTAGGGTTGTGAGGATTAAATTTAGTTGTATACATAGGCAGCATGTGGTTCATTGTAACTACTTATAAAAATATTAGCTTGTGTATCACTGGGCACAGTGGTTCACACTTGTAATCCCAGCACTTTGGGAGGTGGACATGAGAGGATTGCCTTAGTTCAGGGGTTCAAGACCAGCCTGAGCAACATGGTGAGACCTCATCTCTACAATAAATCAGAAAATTAGCCGGACGGGGTAGCACGTTCCTGTGGTTCCAGCTACTTGGGAGGCTGAGGCAAAAGGATCACCTGAGCCCAGCAGGTCGAGGCTGCAGTGGTCCCTGAGCATGCCACTGCACTCCAGCCTGGGCAACAGAGTGAGACTCCAACTCAAAAAAAAAAATTATGCCGGGCT